GATATTCCGGTTTCAAAACATACATTTTTTAAATTTATCAATAGTGACATTGTAACACTATTATCTGTCATAAATCTCTGAATAACACCCCGCATGTACATATTTTTTTTAAAGTAGACAACCCAGGGTATTCAATATGGGGTATGTCCAGTCTTTTTTAGTAGCCACTTAGTCGAAAACACTGGCCAAAGTAAGCATTCATATTTGTTTGTGTGTGAAAAAGTAAAAAAACTAAATTGAACGCTAATTTTGGCCAGTGTTTGTGACCAAGTGGTTACTAAAAAAGACTGGACATACCCCATTTGCAATACCTTGGGTTGTCTTCTTTTGCAAATGGTATGCCATCATGGGGGTAATTCTCATTCCTGGGCTACCATACGCTCTCAAAGGCAACGTAACCAACCTGGCCATTTTCAATGTAAAATATTTGACCCATATATTTGACCTTGTAACTTTCAAAAATGCTATAAAACCTGTACATGGGGGGTACTGTTTTACTCGGGAGACATCGCTGAACACAAATAGTAGTGTTTAAAAACTGGAAAACGTATCACAACAATTATATCATCAGTAAAAGTGCTGTTTGTGTGTGAAAAATGCAAAAGTCACTTTCACTGGCAATATCATCGCTGTGATATGTTTTACTGTTTTGAATCACTAATATTTGTGTTCAGCGAAGTCTCCCGAGTAAAACAGTACCCCCCATGTACAGGTTTTAGGGTGTCGTAGAAAGTTACAGGATAAAATACAAATGAAATTCTCTGGACTTTCGGCTTGGGTTGGCAGGCAGGTCCCTCAAATTGCAACCAATAAAATTACTTAATCATGTAAAAATATTACATAAATACGCATGTAGAATTTAAATATATATACATATTTATATATTTGAAGTCTACGTGTATATTTATATAATTATTTATGTAATTTTGTATATGGACATATGTATATTTCGTATTATTTTTATTTATGTATACATAGATTTATATACAAATTCATTCTAAGTGTATTTTGATATAATTGATAAAGGAATAGAGGCTATAGAGGACTGGACTAGCCAGCTCCCCAGCCTCTATAAAGGTTACAAGAGGTATAAGGGGCTTGACCCCGAGGAAAATTTAAACAAAGGAGAGAGTGGAAGGGATGAAGAACCTCTCACAAATAGTGAGCGGAGTTCAAACTCCTCCACAAATGTATACCTCCTAATATCAATGTAACATGGGGTGGGGGAAAGAAAAATGGGAATATAAACATTTATTAGAAAGTTGAAAATTCCTCCAATCTTGGAGAATAGTAAAACAATTTGTCAATGGTAAATACATCAATGCACCGACTCGATGTGCAAATAACCTGAAGTATACTACTCGTATACGGAATTATATCAAAGTTGCATGGCTCTAAGTCATATATATACATATGCAAATTCCCTATAGGTGTATACTTAGATAAGCCCTTTCTGTGGGGCAAAAAAAATATAAAAATGTCAAGAGAATTGACAATAATTCAAAATTTGTACTGGTAGGGATATATATATTGCCTGGTAGCAGTTGTGAGACCAAAGGGAGAAAAAGGCTTAGTCACTATTCCGGGCAAAAGGTTAGAGAGGGTAAAGGCTCACTAGTTTAGAAACCGGAGACATAACCATCTACATAAACAGGGCCGTCTTTACCGCGGGGCAAATGGGGCAGCTGCCCCGGGCCCAGTTACTCCTGAGGGGCCCGAAGCAGCTGCACCGTGGGTCCCGCTTGCCTCAAGCATTTTTTCCCACTCGCCTGTGCACCTGCACACTAAGGAGGCCCACCGGGTGGTCCATGCACTAAGGGCCACCCGGTGGGCTTCTGTCAGCAGGGGCCCGGTCTTGCGCTCTGGCGCTTTAAGAGCGCGACCGGGCCCTCTTGCTTTTTGGCAGCCGGCTGGGAGGAAGTGACAGTTGCGCGTCACTTCCTCGCATAAAGAGAGGAGCCGCGCGGGAGGAGGAAGAGGCAGAGCAGAGGGGGTCTGGGCCGAGCTAGCCAGACCCCAACTCCCAGCAGCTTCAGCCACCCTCCAAGGTATGAAACTGGAGGGTGGGTAAAATAGTGTAAATTTTGTGTGTATATGTCAGTATGTCTGTCAGTGTGTCTGTCAGTGTGTCTGTCAGTGTGTCAGTGTGCCTGTCAGCGTGTCTGTCAGCGTGTCTGTCAGCGTGTCTGTCAGTGTGTCAGTGTGTCTGTCAGCGTGTCTGTCAGTATGTCTGTCAGCGTGTCTGTCAGCATGTCTGTCAGCATGTCTGTCAGTATGCCTGTCAGTATGTCTGTCAGTATGTCTGTCAGTGTGTCTGTCAGTATGCCTGTCAGTGTATGTGTCAGTATGCCTGTCACTGTATGTCAGTGTGTGTGTCAGTATGCCTGTCAGTGTATGTGTCAGTATGTGTGCCAGTATGCCTGTCAGTGTGTGTGTCAGTGTATATGTCAGTATGCCTGTCAGTGTATGTGTGTCAGTATGCCTGTCAGAGTGTATGTCAGTATGTCTGTCAGTGTGTATGTCCGTATGCCTGTCAGAGTGTATGTGCCAGTATGCCTGTCAGTGTATGTGTCAGTATGCCTGTCAGTGTATGTCAGTGTGTACAGGGCTGCCATCAGAAATGTTGGGGCCCCTGACACAGCTCAAGGTCTGGGCCCCCGGTGCCTGCACCCGAGTCCGCCCAAAGTGCTGCCCCCCCTGAATCCGCCCACAGGGATGCAGTGTCTACAGGGCCGGTGCAAGGATTTTTGCCGCCCTAGGCAAAAGTAAAGTTTGCCGCCCCCCCCCCATGTGACATCACAATGCCCCACCCATGTGATCTGTCATGTTAACTAACGCTAGTGCTGCAGTGCCGCCGTGTTTACATTAAAAGGCCTGCAGGGACAGGCTAGACACCAGAACCACTACATTAAGCTGCAGTGGTTCTGGGGACTATAGTGTCCCTTTAATGTGAGGTAAATTAGAGATTAGTGCCACGAATAATATACTAGATTGCCTACTTGCAACCAGATGAGGATGATGATGGGCTCTAGCTACCGTCTGGCTCCACTGGTCTGGTGTACAACAGGCTCTCTGGAGGCGGTTTGTAACTGTGGTCACAAAAATCACTGTTCTGGGAGAACGGGAAGCAGCTCCATTTTTTTGAGGGCCCTTTACACAGCTCAATGTCTGGGTCCCAGGGTCCACCTTCATGTTCCACCAATGAGTTTGTTCACAGGGAGTGGAGTGTGTGTGTGGGGGATGTCCTGATGTGTGTAAGGAATGCATTGTGTGAATCTGTGTTTGTATGTGTAAGGGCTGCAAGATGAGTTTGTGTATGTATGGGATGCAGTGTATGCATCTGTAAGGGATGCATTGAGTGTGTGTAAGGGGTGCATTGTGTGTTGCTGTGTGTAAGGGATGCATTGCTTGTGTACGTGTGTCTGTGTGTAATGCATTGTGTGTTTTTCTGTGTGCAAGGGGTGCATTGTGTGTGATGGATGTCAATCTCCCCCCCTCCCCCTCCAATTTCCTTCTTCTCCCCCTCCAATTTCCTTCTTCCCCCTCCAATTTCCTTCCTCTCCCCTCCAATTTCCTTCCTCTCCCCCGTCCTCAAATTTCCTTCCTCTCTCCCTCCCTCAAATTTCCTTCCTCTCTCCCTCCCTCAAATTTCCTTCCTCTCCCTCCTCCCTCAGTCCCGTTCCTCTCCCCCCACCCTCAAATTTCATTTCCTCTCCCCCCCTCCCTCAAATTTCATTTCTTCCCCCATTTCATTTCCTTCCTCCCCTCTCTCAATTTCGTTTCAACCCCCATCCCATTTCATTCCTTCTCCTTCCCCCCTCCCATTTCGTTTCCTTCTCCTTCCCCCCTCCCATTTCATTCCTTCCCCTTCCCCCCTCTCCATTTCATTCCTTCCCCTTCCCCCTCCCATTTCATTCCTTCCCCCCCATTTCGATTTCCTTCTCCTTCCCCACGCCTTCCCATTTCATTCCCTTCCTCCCCTCCATTTCATTCCCTTCCCCCATTTCATTCCTTCTCCTCCCCCATTTCATTCCTTCTTCCCCCAGTTCATTCCTTCTCCTTCCCTCCATTTCATTCCTTCTCCTTCCCCGATTTCATTCCTTCTCCTTCCCCATTTCATTCCTTCTCAACCCCCCCCCTCCCATTTCATTCCTAACCCCCACTCCCTCGAATTTCATTCCTCCTACCCCCCCTGACACTGGCGGCGGGCGGGCGGGCTGGCAGGCCGGCGCGCGAGGGAGCACTCTCTGTGTGCTTCCTCTTCAGCTCCCTCGCGCGCCGCGTACTGATGCCGGAGCCGGAAGATGACGTCATCTTCCGGCTCCGGCATCAGTACAGTGCGCGAGGGAGCTGAAGAGGAAGTACACAGAGAATGCTCCCTCGCGCGCCCGCCGGGTGTCAGCAGGGCCAGCCTTTGGGGGGCCCTGACGTGGCCGCCTCCTGGGCCCCCCAGGAGAAGAGGCTGGCCCTGTGGGTACATACCGGGTCACAGGACCCCATGCGACCCGGTATGTACCCACTGAATGTGGGGCCCGGACGACCTGAGCAGTCCGGGCCCCCCAGGACCGCCGGGCCCATGACAACCGTTACGGTTGTCATGCCCTGATGGTGGCCCTGAGTGGGTATGTCAGTATGCCTGTCAGTGTATATGTCAGTATGCCTGTCAGTGTATGTGTCAGTGTATATGTCAGTATGTGTGTCAGCATGCCTGTCAGTCTGTCAGTTTGTGTCAGTATGCCTGTCAGTGTGTGTCAATGTGTCTCTCAGTTTTTGTGTCTGTGTAAGTATGTCTGTCTCTATGTGTCTGTATATCTGTGTGTGTATCTATATGTTGTCATTGTGTGTGTATCTGTATGAAGTCTGTGTGTATCTGCCAGTGTGTCAGATGTGTATATGTGTGTCTGTGTAACTGCATGTGTGTCAGTGTTTGAATCTTTTTGTATGTCAGGATGTGTATTGGTGTGTCTGTATGTGTGTCAGTGTGTATCTGTATGTTGTCTTTGTGTGTTTCGCTGTATCTGTATGTTATGTTATTAGTATGTGTGTCTGTTTATCTGAATGTGTGTCAGGTTGTGTATCTATGTGTTAGCGTGTGTATATCTACTTGTGTGTTTGTGTGTGTGTATGTGCATACATCTCAACATTCACACGCTAACACTACACACAAATACACCCCTGCATTAAAGCTTCAGCACTACATACAAATACACGTCTGTGTTAAACACCAACATTATATGTATACACACCCCTGCATTCAAAAACCAACACTGCACATAAATACATGCTTACATTCAAACACCAACACCACATACAAACATATGCCATACAAAAACCTGTTTACATTGAAACACACAAAAACTTCTTAGTGTTAAATACAAACCTGCAAACATGGGTAAATGGTAGAGCCCCAGCTATCAAGGTATTGCTGGAGTTGCACGACAGATGGGGATCTACCTTTTAAACATCCTTGCAATAGGGACGCCCAAAAAAATATTCTTGCACCTCTCTTCTTTAGGTTGCCACTGTATTAAGGGTGATAATGTGATTGCACGCCTGGGGAGGGTGTACAGGGTCCAGGGGACCCAAACAAATGCTTTGCCCATGGTCCAATCAATATTAAAGATGGCCCTGTACATAAAGACATTATCAGTATAGACTTCATATGGCTCAATCTCTCTAGCAATAAATGTTGCCCACAAGGGTATACAGTGCATAGAGGAAGAGAACTTAGAGCTGGTAATACTCAGTAGATATCAAAGGGGGGCCCTCAGGTACACCCACCAGGATTCCAAACAATGTAGAAACGATAATTGAAGCCAATTATTCAAAATACTACAAGATTATGTGATCAAACAACTATGTGAATGGAAAGGTTTATTTATATTGTGGATCGGGAGGACCAATGTAGTAAGATCATATATAATCCCAAAACGGCTATACCTGCTGAGAATGATACCTCTAACTTTCTCTCAGTTTTCCTATTACATTTTTCAGAGGAATATTAATAGATTTATCTTGGTAGATAAGAAATTTAGATTATCAAAAAAATGATGTGGTACAGTCGGAAAAAGGGCAGATTAAATGTGCCTAGCCTTGAGAGATATGCTCAAACTAGTATGCTGTGCCGTTTGATGAAGTTACAGAGTTTCCAAAATAAAGAGTAAAATTGGTATTATGTAGAACAAGAATCAATAATGTCTAATCTGGAATGTTTACTGTGGATCCAACAAGATAAACTCAAGATGTTTAAAAAAGATCGTATGGTGAGGATTATTACTAAAAACTGTATTGATGCTTAGTAATTATTTAATTAACGTAGCGGTATGAAAGATAAACTAGTAACATATGTGCCTTTAGAGATCCTGCAAAATAATATTCCTCGATTAAAGCTCAATTATCGGGAGAATTTTAAAGATCATCGAATTGGGGACCTTAAGGCTGAGGAGGAGATGAATTCCTTTACAAAGCTTTCTGGTGAATATAAACTTAAAGCCTCAGAATATTTCAATGTCCGTAGAATAAGCTGCTATCTAAGATCTCATTTATATAAAATAGATAAAAATAAAAAGGGTTATAACGTCAGTCGAATGCTTAATAATGAAGTAGCGAAAAATTCTATGGGAAAATGGCATAGCATATTAGAGACATAAGAGACAACATCTAGTTTAAAAGCCATAGACGCTTGGCAGAGAGATTTGAATGTCCAAATAGAAATAAAATAATGGATAAATAGTGTGAATGGAGTTAATATCACTCATTGTTTGAATATGGTTGAATTACATTATAAAACCACGATGAGTTGGGACTTAGAACCAGAAAAACTAACAAAATAGGAATACATTCTACATGCTGGAGGTGAAATATGCTCCAGGGTACTTCTTTCCATATTTGGTGGGACTGTAAGAAAGTAAAACAGGCATGTATCCCACCAACAATAGAGAGGGCACAGTTACACCTCGACTTAGATATTTTTTTTTTTAGTAATAAGGCGCTTGTGATGGACCGCCTGGCACCCTGACCGGATACCTCCGTCAATCAATGTGCCTAGTGCTTTCTGAGGGCTCCAAGCACTCCACCAGACACCCTAAGCACTGCAGACCCCACTTCCAGCGATGCAGCTGCGCCGGGGTCTCGCCGTCCTCCACCCACCCTGGTCCCAAGACCAGGAACCAGCTCCCAGTGGGCAGACCTCTACTACTCTGGAGAGCATAGCAGGAACAAGCTCTTACAAGAGCTTAGTGATTATACTCAGGGGAGTGTTGTGATTATAGCAATCCCCAGAGTGTAGCTTTCCAATCCACCAAACATTGAAAAATATTTTTATGAACTTTAAATGTATTCAACGTGTTGTAGGAATGTAGAAATATTGTAAGTTATTATTCTAAGCATATCCAGACATCGAGAGGCCTACCCAGATAGATTACCATCATAATGTAATTTATACACATACTGTAATTTACACACATATGGTTTTAAGTCCAGAATGATGGATGGAGACTTGTGGACCCTGTTGATAATAACCTTTGACCTAGCCTTGTAAGCCTGAATTCCTGTGAAGGTTCACATTTCTATAGGCAATCATTCATTCCATCATGTAATTAGAAGTCTCAAGAAGGTCTTTGTGTGTAACTTACCAAAACATCATAACGTATGGCTTTAATCATAGATATCGAATAATACTAAGTTACCACCTATTTTTTCTTAGATAACCAATTATTGTAAAGCAGGCAAACCTTATGTCATTATGTATACGCCCTATGTAATTGAATTTTAAAGGACCACTCTAGGCACCCAGACCACTTCAGCTTAATGAAGTGGTCTGGGTGCCAGGTCCTTCTAGGGTTAACCCATTTTTTCATAATTATAGCAGTTTCAGAGAAACTGCTATAATTATGAATGGGTTAAGCCTTCCCCCTAATCCTCTAGTGGCTGTCTCATTGACAGCTACTAGAGGCGCTTGCGTGCTTCTCACTGTGATTTTCACAGTGAGAGCACGCAAGCGTCCATAGGAAAGCATTGTAAATGCTTTCCTATGCGACGGGCTGAATGCGCGCGCAGCTCTTGCTGCGCATGCGCATTCATCCGGCGGGGCGGATCGGAGGCGGAGAGGAGGAGGAGAGCTCTCCGCCCAGCGCTGGAAAAAGGTAAGTTATTACCCCTTTCCCCCTTCCAGAGCCGGGCGGGAAAGGGTCCCTGAGGGTGGGGGCACCCTCAGGGCACTATAGTGCCAGGAAAACGAGTATGTTTTCCTGGCACTATAGTGGTCCTTTAAATGTATAAAATCCATTGCAACTCCAATACCAATAGTAACACCAACGACCAATACCTTTTAACATCAAGCTTGGATAAGATCTAGAAGTGAATATACATTGTCTATTGGTCCATATGATTTTAAACCAGACTTTTGTTGTTACCGGATGATGTGTATATTGTAATAAATATACGGTTTTAACTGCAAGACACTCTGATTCGATTTGTTCAGAAAACTGGAAAACAAATATCTCACGGAATGCAAATTTCCTACAAACATGAGCCAAGATTTCATGAAGGGGTAAAGCAGGTCTGTTTAATGCAAGCCAGCACTTACAATTTAGACATACATTTAAATCCCCAACAGCCTAATTTACATACAATAGGTTACACAGAGCACTATAGTACAAGGAAGGGTGGGGGCAGACAATAGCAAGGGCTAATGGGAGATTGAGGAGGGACAAAGCAACCAGTTTAAACTGGTCTGGCAGTGTCCTTGGGACAACGTCCTGCTTTGGAAACTCCTCTGTGTCTGAGAGATAATTAATTAGCTCCAGGTACAGAAAAACACACAATTTACAAACACCCCAAAAGTACCCCCAAGATCCATGGAAACCCCACAAGAGTCACATCCTCGGATAGTCCTGATCTGGGTGACCAACTTATCCAAAGATCACCCAAATCAGTTCAGTGGTTTGGTGTTTCCATGGGAGTCACTTTTTAACATGTCTTTTTGCAGAGCCCTCCAAGTACCAGTGGTGAGGTTACTTTCGCCACAGCGCTAATTATACAATGCCTTTTAGCTCTGACAATTGTTATAGCAAGAAAGTGGCGACAACAAGATGAAATTAGAACAGACACAATAAGAAATCAAAGAAGATATCAATGTAAAATGGAACGGGGCTAGCTCTGTGCACAACATAGACAGAATAAATACTATTTAATTTGGAATAGCTGGCTCAGTAGGATATATTCCATACATGCTGATGATAAAAAGTTAAGACTCCGAATATGTTGGTAATACTCGCCGTGCACAACTTGCAATGTTTGTATTGTCTTTTATGTATGTTGTATATTTCTATACAATGGAATAGAACTGGCATTGTTATATAGCATATATCAGTATATTTTCATATCTTATATTTTTATATTGTGATGGAAAATCTCTGTTTTGAATGTACATTATTATTATTGTTTATAAAAAAGAAAACTCAATAATCTATGTATTTGAAAAATAAAACAATAATAATAATCAAGTAGATAAAACAGTAAACAGTCTTACTTTTCCTCTCTCATTAGTTCATGCTCCCGCAATCCTGGGAATCTCTTTAATACCTTTAACCAGTGGCGTACATACCAGGGTCGCAGGGGTCGCGGCTGCGACCAGGCCCGGCCCACCCGGTATGTACCCACAGGGCCAGCCTCTTCCCCTGGGGGGCCCAGGAGCCGGCCACCCCAGGGCCCCCCGAGGCTGGCCCTGCTGTCACATACACACTCCTGGGCGGGTGGCCGGTCGGGCAGGCAGGCGCGCGAGGGAGCACTCAGTGCTTCCTCTTCAGCTCCCTCGCGCATCGCACTGATACCGGAGCCAAGTACCAGTGGTGAGGTTACTTTCGCCACAGCGCTAATTATACAATGCCTTTTAGCTCTGACAATTGTTATAGCAAGAAAGTGGCGACAACAAGATGAAATTAGAACAGACACAATAAGAAATCAAAGAAGATATCAATGTAAAATGGAACGGGGCTAGCTCTGTGCACAACATAGACAGAATAAATACTATTTAATTTGGAATAGCTGGCTCAGTAGGATATATTCCATACATGCTGATGATAAAAAGTTAAGACTCCGAATATGTTGGTAATACTCGCCGTGCACAACTTGCAATGTTTGTATTGTCTTTTATGTATGTTGTATATTTCTATACAATGGAATAGAACTGGCATTGTTATATAGCATATATCAGTATATTTTCATATCTTATATTTTTATATTGTGATGGAAAATCTCTGTTTTGAATGTACATTATTATTATTGTTTATAAAAAAGAAAACTCAATAATCTATGTATTTGAAAAATAAAACAATAATAATAATCAAGTAGATAAAACAGTAAACAGTCTTACTTTTCCTCTCTCATTAGTTCATGCTCCCGCAATCCTGGGAATCTCTTTAATACCTTTAACCAGTGGCGTACATACCAGGGTCGCAGGGGTCGCGGCTGCGACCAGGCCCGGCCCACCCGGTATGTACCCACAGGGCCAGCCTCTTCCCCTGGGGGGCCCAGGAGCCGGCCACCCCAGGGCCCCCCGAGGCTGGCCCTGCTGTCACATACACACTCCTGGGCGGGTGGCCGGTCGGGCAGGCAGGCGCGCGAGGGAGCACTCAGTGCTTCCTCTTCAGCTCCCTCGCGCATCGCACTGATACCGGAGCCGGGCGATGACGTCATCTTCCAGCTCCGGCATCCCTACGCTGCGCGCGAGGGAGCTGAAGAGGAAGCACTGAGTGCTCCCTCGCGCGCCTGCCTGCCCGACCGGCCACCCGCCCAGGAGCCCAGCAGCACCACTGGACCCCAGGGAATCCCCCCAGCACTCCAAAAGGTAAGGAGGCTGGGGGGATTACATTTAAAAAAAACGTGTTAGAGTGAGTGTGAGTGTTAGAGTTAGTGTGAGTGTTAGAGTGAGTGTTAGAGTGAGTGTTAGAGTGAGTGTTAGTGTGATTGTGAGTGTTAGAGTGAGTGTTAGTGTTAGAGTGAGTGTTAGTGTGAGTGTTAGAGTGAGTGTTAGAGTGAGTGTTAGTGTGAGTGTTAGAGTGAGTGTTAGTGTTAGAGTGAGTGTTAGTGTGAGTGTTAGAGTGAGTGTTAGTGTGAGTGTGAGTGTGAGTGTTAGTGTTAGAGTGAGTGTTAGTGTGTGTGTTAGTGTGTGTGTTAGTGTGTGTGTTAGTGTGTGTGTTAGTGTGTGTGTTAGTGTGTGTGTCTTACTGAGTGTGTGTGTCTTAGCAAGTCTGTTTGATGTCTGTTAGTGATTGTGTGTTTGTCAATGAGAGTGTATGTTTTGTAAGTGAGTGTGTATGTATGTCTGTCGCTGAGTGTGTCTCTGTCAGTAAATGTGTGTGTCTGTTAGCTAGTGTGTATGCGTCTGTAAGTGAG